AAATGGACCATGACGGGTCGGGTCAAGTACATACCAAATATAGTTATGGACTTAGACATTAATCCAACACGATGATCCTCCAAACGGAATACCCAGTTCTCCCCCACTTAGGGTTCGAACTACCACCTACTAGTGTTGAAACAAACCCATAACTCAACCAACTCAATCAGGTACAACCATTCTTGACCGTGAAAAGAATAACATATGCAAGATGATCTTCCAGATAAGGATCAAACAAATCCTAAGAGAATCCTAAATTTCAACTGAAGACCTCTGGAATTTTCCAATCATACCCAGTTTAACATTAAGGATTCCTTACAAGAGCATAAACCAATACCGACTTATGGTCCAAAACATGCACTCCATGCCTACAATTCCAACCGCCAATCTGGTACCTGACCTGCCTATATCCAAGAAAATGGACCCTTGATCGCATCACAAAGCATCCATACCACCTCAATCCTCCTGAACACTCCCACGCTAACATACTGTTACCAACACCGCGACCAACCGACTCCTAGTAGGGTCCACATCTCAACACTAAAATTCACAAGCCTGATCACTCCTCCTACGAAGTTGGAAAGGTGAAAATTGATGCTATTGATAGCGACATACCAACCCATCAATCCACCCCTCAACTTCCAACTGCGATCCCCAGCCACTCATATAAATCGTTTCCTCCTTGAGTCTCGCAACTCGAAGCACGGACTCAGACAAAACCCTCGAGACCTCCAAACCAACATACTCATCTAGGTCTGAACCATTCAACCTAAACCGATATTGCCACGCGGGCCCGAAAAAAATATCAACCCATCCTCGTGCCCGAGCAATCATAACCCAAAGATCGACAGATACGCAACCGATGTCGCGAATCATGGTATCAAACCATGCTAATCTCTCTCGACCGATCTTTAGAATCACTAAAACTCTCATTGATTCGAGTATGGATGTTGTGCTTCCAGTAGTACGGGCCCAATACTACCTTCCACACTTATCCATACTTTTCCTCAAGGATCATCTCGGGTCCTCTAAGACCTATCCAAAATACTCCCAAAACCTGCTTCACAACGAAACAACCGCACTAAAATACTTCCTAAGCTCTCTTAGGATTCTACCCACACCTCATCTGCCATCAGCTAACCACCTTATGAGTACAATTACATGCAATAAAGCTTGAATAATCCACATGAGACATATGTTGGCCAAGCCTATCTATAGGGATAGATAGATGAAAATGTTGAGCATGTAAACACTGGAAAACTGCTTTCTGCCGAGCCGTCATGTTGAAATGCACTTCCATATCTTGGACAATTTTACTAAAAAGGGCACTCACCAGTGTATTTTGGGATTTAAGGGGGGGGGGGCAGTGTCCTTAGTAGTAAAACTGCTAATGTCAATGTCTGAAAGCTTGTTACGAAGAGAAGCTAAGGCACAAGCATAATCACAATCCATACCATAAATGTCGCTATCCCGTAAGATGTGGTCTTGCAATACCTAAGATTAGGCCCTTGAGGCAACAAAAGCATATGAGGTACCCATCACTGCCGAGTATAAACCCAAACCACCAAACCGAATGGGTAGGGAAGCAAGTCGCCACTGTATGTCGCCAAAGAAAGGGCCACCACAAACTACAATGTCCTCAATCGCCCGCGCAACACATTATCGAAGAACAAAGCCTCCTCCTCCATGTGAACGGGTTGGCACGTCCTCAGCCCAAAGAAAAGTTTAGCAATACCCATACAATACCGAAGTAGAAAGAGCTCACTCTACGGTTCAGAAAATTATGGAAGAAGGCGCATCAAATTCACAGCGTTTTCAGCTCTCTTTATGGCTAAGCTGCTAATGAAACTAGCATCTCTACTAATAGCTCCCTCGGGAAGTTTCACACCCAATGGCGGCCTCCCGATGCCAACCGGGAATAGCCCCTCACGCAACTTCCCACCATCACACGAGGGCCAAAAGAGTTCGGTTATCTTAATATTCAACTGAAGGCCCAATTTTGGGCCAATAACCTTAATAATGTCTAACGCTTTGGCTACCTCCTCAAAATCTCTAATAAGCGTGCCATCATCAAGGTACCATGCATGGAGAAGAATCTTGCAATTGTCTCTAATATTATGCAATAGCGGGTGCAACACAAGGGCAAAGAGAAGCGGTCCAAGGGGTCTCCTTGCTGAACTCCAGTAGTAGACCAAATATGCGTGTCTCCTAAATACAACCTTGTTGTTTGACCATATAGGAATTCTACCAACAAGGATATAGAAGGGCACCTCAATCTGACCTCATGAAGTAATGCGGATCTGTCAACAAGGTTAAAGGCATTGGAGAATCCCACGGTAAGCATGGAAAGAGACCCGTCATTATGGCGCTCACTCAACACCCTATTGGCGCTATGTAATACGGCTTCAGCGTCACCCGACACCCCGACCCCGAACTGAAAATCATTGGGATACTTGGCCATTTCTTTACCAACACCTTTCATAGCCAACTTGGAAACCAAACGTCTCCATATAGTGCATATTGCAATAGGTCGTATTCCCTTGTCAAGTTTTAAGAGTGGTGTAAGAGGAGCAAATGCAACAAATTCTGCCAAACTCGAAGGGCATCTTCCCCATAACCATAGATTAACCACACATGTAATAACACGTAGGAGGTATTTGGCTATAGTTGAACCTTCTCCACAAAGAGCATTTAAAATGTGTTGATATCTCAACCCTTCTCTCCCATACGAGGTTCCTTTAGGGAATGATTTAATGCCCCCAAGGACATTGCCAATATCCACCACATGGGAAGGTATTGAACATATGGTACTCGTCATGGATGGTAGTGGCTTGTGTAGATGCTTATCCTCCAATGCCTTTGTGGTAGCATCCCCATATAGAGCAACCCCCGAGGAACATAATACTTTCACTGCTGTTCTGAAATCCTCATCTGCAACCTTACGGAGACATTGCCTGACGTTGGTGACGCCCCGTGTTCGATCCTCCTTAATGTACTCTTATTTTTTGTCTTGTTGCTCCAACCTTGCATTGTTAACCAAGTTTTTAACAAGCTTGGTTATACCGTCTTTTGTACCCCAAGTAGCTAATGCGCTTAGGATGTTACGATTTTGCACAGACTTCCTGTTCCCATACCTACTTTCTTGCCTATTCTTGGGTCTGAACACCTGAAGAGTACACCTAGGAAGAATTAACAACGTAACCCACGCTTCAACGGATCCGGGATGAGCAGCCACCTTGGAAAGGGCTATTTTCAAAGCCTGAGAGAAAGCCATACGACACTTATGAGGGATGCTTTTGACTATGGTGATAGGTAGCTTAAACACAAGATCAAAGAGCTGAGCATCCAACACCAACCCATCATTGAGGTCGGCCTCCGGTTCATTGGGTGACGACCTTTTTTATGTCAAAATTTTGCACCAAGTAACTTTTCAAGAATTCAGTGATAGTGGAATGGAAGTTCCAATTTTATGTGTTTTGCTAATAAGACCAAAGGGTATGGAGCGAGAAGAGGTTTCCTCACTCTTATTTCACTCACTGTCAATTTTTAGTACTTTCCCCACTCTTATTTTACTCACTGTCATTTTTTACTATCTTTCACGTTTTTATTTTTTAAAAGAATATATTTTATACAAGTATTATATTTATTTTTGTAGGGAATTAAAAATTTTGAATTTTGATATATTTTTTTATAGTTTTTAAGTATATATAATTTAATAAATATTAGAGAAACTAAAAAAAATATCAATCACACGAGAGAGAGGGCGGGGTAGTCTCCCCGTACCCCTAAACAGCATCCATGGTATTGTGTTCTGGGGTGCGGTAAATAAGAGTGGGGAAAGCTAACGTCCTTGTCCATTCAAAAAGTAAAGATAGAAGATGACGTGTAACAGGCGACCTTTCCGTCCGCTGCGTAACCCTGACGCCTCCCCAGCGTTTCCCATATAAACCCCTTGCCCGCCCTCGATTTTCACCCTAACAGACGCTCTCAGGTCTCAGCATCTTCGATTCTCAACTACAATGGCTATCAATGATCCCGAAAACAGAGAAGAGGAGGAGGAAGCCGCCGCCGCCGAAGACGAAGACACCGGAGCGCAGGTTGCTCCGATCGTCAGGCTTGAAGCAGTCGAGGTCATTAACGGTGAAGAAAACGAGGATGCAATACTCGATCTGTGAGTATTCGATCTTGATCCGAGTTTACACGTTTGTATGGTTTATTCTATATTATAACTTCATATTTCACGATTTCAGTAAGTCGAAGTTGTATAGATTCGACAAGGACGGGAATCAGTGGAAAGAACGAGGCGCCGGAACCGTTAAGCTTCTAAAGCATAAAGAAACTGGAAAAGTTCGTCTTGTTATGCGTCAATCAAAAACCCTAAAGATCTGCGCCAATCATCTCGGTATGTATAAATTACAATTGACGTTTTCCATATGTGGATTTCCATATGCTTATTATGCAATGTGATATTATTGCTGTAGTTCTACCGACGACATCGGTTCAAGAACACGCTGGTAATGACAAGTCATGCGTGTGGCATGCTGCCGACTTTTCTGATGGTGAACTTAAAGACGAACTTTTCTGCATTAGATTCGGATCAGTTGATAGTAAGTTGAAGTTTAATTTCTGTCAAATGTGTTTAATTTGGATCTTTTGCTCTGTCAATGTAATTATGTGCTGTTATTTTCTTTGATTTCAGATTGCAAAAAGTTCATGGAAACAGTTGAAGAAGTGGCAGAGTCACAGCAGCCGGAGAAGGAGGAAAACAAAGATGCCTCAAATGCTGCTGGACTGCTGGAGAATTTGACTGTTAAAGATAAGACAGAAGAAGGAAAAGAAGTCAAAGAGGCATCTGCTGATGCACCAAAGAAGGAGGAGAAAGAGCCTGAAAAGGCAGCAGAGTCAGAGGAGAAGAAGGAAGAAGCTTCCCCTGCTTCCTCAACTTAAAATGTGGCCTTATGAGGTTAAGTATTCCTTCTTGATCACGTGTCCAGACAAAGAGAACTTTGATGGGTGGTTTTATATTTGAATTAGGTCTATTGGGGGTTTTGGTGAAAACATTTGGTTTTGATTTTGTCATCATATTGCATGTGTTTGTTTTGTGTCATTGATATAGTTTGGTTTTGGTGGGTTTTTACGGATGGTATTATTAGTGTACATCTGTTTGAGGGATATGCTTGTGATATTGCATGAGTTTGTGATTTAAGTGTCGTATAAAAACAATTTATCATTTGTTACCTTGATTTAAAACTTTTCAATTTTGATATCTTTAATCATTGTGTGTGTCAAAGTGGTTTAATATTTCAGAACTTGTAGTTTGCTTGAATGGCTTGTCAATTGTTTGGTCTATGGTTTGTTGCATTGTATTGTAAAATTTAAGGGAAATTGAGTAATCTAACTAATATGAATGTCATTTTTGACAAAAATAATCATTTTTTTGTTTTGTTAATTGACCGCATTGTCCGGAATTATACATTCTAGAGTTTTCGGAATCACATAACGCCATTCGGAACTACTTTTGTATTTTTTTTGTGTAAGTTTAAATTAATAGTTGGTTAAGTGGTTGTTTACTTTTAGTTTTGAAAAAAAAAACTGTTATAAATATGGAATTGCATGAAAATACTTAAATCTATTGTAAAAAATAATAACTACATAAACTTCAATATGTTTAAATAATAATATAAATGGATTTTTTTTACAACGACGAGTTAGTATATGTTTGAGTTTAAGTACCCCTTTGTTAGCTAAGTGGGTTAGCCCCAACTTGTATTTTTTTTCTTTGTATAACATACAATTTTCGCAAATCACCTTCGAGACTTGATTCAGGTTTGGGTGCAACCCATGCTCAAAGATTTGCCACCGATCAACTGATCAAGCTCTCTAGAAAGTAACACAAGAACACTCCACAATCTCTTTATCGTGAGATTGTTGTGGTACGTCTGTGCCATTTAAAAGGGGTGTGTAAACTCTCAATGGAGATTACATCAATGAGTTTGATACCACTATAGTTGATACCCACTAACAGTTTGTGGATAGGGGCTCACATAACTATAAAGCAAGATGTAGATTCAAAAAAACAGTCTTCGTCCAAGAAACTATCATATATCGTAAATGTGAAGTCTGGAAATACATAACTCCCAAAGACCGGTGGCCCTAAGGTATATTAATAGGGAAGTACAATATTTTTTTTCTTTGTATCACATACAGTTTTCGCAAATCACCTTCGATATGACTTGATTTAGGTTTGGGTGCAACCTTCTGTGCTCAAAGATTTGCCACCGATCACTGATCAAGCTCTCTAGAAAGTAATACAAAAACACTCCACAATCTCTTTATCGTGAGATTGTTGTGGTACGTCTGTGCCATTTACAAATGGGTGTGTAAACTCTCAATGGAGATTACATCAATGAGTTTGATACCACAATAGTTGATATCCACTAGCACTTTGTGGATAGAGGCTCACATAACTATAAAGCAAGATGTCGATTCAAAAAAATAGTCGTCGTCCAAGAAACTATCATGTATGGTAAATGTGAAGTCTGGAAATCTAGAACTCCCAAAGACCAGTGGCCCAAGGTATATTAATAGGGATATATATTTGCATAAAGGTTGGATTTAGCTAATCAATAGATAACATTTTCTTATAAGTAATTGTTACTTGGGTAATATAATTGAAAAACATTTATACCGTATAACACTCAGACCAAGCTGGGTAATTGATCCATCAACCATGTCACTCCAATCCTGTACATATGTGCCGAAAGCTATTAGTACAAATGTCCGTCGAGCATCAGCTGACCTTCGCTCTATCGACAATAAAATCCAGAGCATGATATGATGTCAATCAACACATGTATACAATGAAGTAATTAACCTAACTGAATGTTTAATGTGTAATGATCATATACGTATATAACTTACATCACATTCCAACCAACCCAAAGTCAATGTCCCAATATATGCGCATCCAAAACTCCATTATCGTTATACACGTGAGAAACCGATAAACAAACAATAATGAAACATACCAGTTTTCTTGATCTAGGTTTTTATGCACATTTCTTCATGTTTATATTAATGTGAGTGGATGGATCCAATAAAGATGCCAACTTTATTGATCCTTGAGGTCCTAAGAAGGTTAGATGCTCCAGATCTGAAGTGTTATGTATGAGCTCATGCATGAGGTTTTGACCCGATTCCTTTCATTTTGACCTTAGTTAAGTAAAAGACATGCATTAGACATGCATGTCCTCAAAGCAAGGATTTTTATTATACATATGAGTGTAAGGAAGCTTTCTGGAAGGTATGAATATGGGTCTTAATGGATTAAGGGGTTAATCAAATAAGTTGATTCTGATGAGATACAACGACGTGGTGACATGCTCGCCACGACGTGGTGGTGGAATTTGTCGCAACTTTTTTGTCGTGGAGTAGCCTTGACGTGACCAGTAGTTGGCTACGACGTGGTCATCTACTAAGTTGACTTTGACCTTGAACGTTGACTTTTGACCAATTTGAGTTGTAGTCAAACTTGGAGAGGTTTTAAGTGGTAGCATGAGGTTTGGTTTGTGAATAGTTAGGAGGTTCGTGTAGCTGATTATGTGCGATTTTCGAGTACAAGATTATAACTTTTTGATCATGTGAGTTTTATCACTATACTATGTAGGACACTAGGTATCGTGATATGCTAGACTATCTATGTGACTTTTGCATGAAAAACTGTGGTGTGGGATCACAACACATGTATGAAATAGTGTGATGGGATCACTAGACTTGCATGGAAGACCATGGTGGAACCATGGCGGGAAAGACTGCAGCGGGGGTGTAGCAACAAAAGTGATTGTAAGACTATGGTGAGATCATAGCATTCACATGGGTTGAAACATACCCCTAGTACAAGACCTACTGTTATGTATGGTATGTGGTATTTTGAGAAACTCACTAAGCTTTGTGCTTACGGTTTAAGTTTAAATGTTTCATGTACTCAGTGGCAGACCGCCTTAGGGGCCAGGGGGAGGCCATGGCCTCCCCGCTTTTTGGTGTTCTAATACTTGTATATACCCATCAATCTGATATTCAAGTTAAAAAAAACAATAGAATGACATCTTTGCCCCCGGTTTCCAGATCATGTGAATATATATCATATAGATAGATATACTGGTAACAAAATTTCCGGAAGATCACAAACGAAATCAAAACCAACCTGTTTATTTAGGATTCTATAAAATAAGGAAACTTAATATGTATTAAATTCTATAAAAACCCACGATCTAATCAAGAATTCAAGATTATAACAATTTAGCCCAAGTTTGAGTTAAGAAAACTGAAACGTTTAAACCTAAATCAAAAGTTTATTCAAACCACCAGATTTCAGAATACTTTTTCTCGTAACTAACCCGAAGAACATCGGCGCCCATTCAGACCGTTGTTGTTTTGTACTCTTTTCCAGTTGCCGACACCATTGGTATCGTACGCTCTTTCTCCTATTCGCTAGTCGCCGGAGCCTGAACTGTTGACATTTTTCTGTTGAAACTTGGTCTCCGCCGTCCGCCGAGGCGCTGACCGTCGTGTCGATTGGCTGGTTGGGTGTTCTTCGCCACTTCGCTGGATACTGGTGGTCGTTCTCTATTCTCATTATCCGGTACATAGTTTTGTTCCTTTGTTTTTCTTTATATATCTATTAACTTGTTTTCTCTCACTAGGGGAGTAGTGTGTAGGCGTAAAGTAGAAATTGTGTGTTGCACTCTTGCAGAGCCTTTATTAGCTTTTATTATGAATTATGACTACACACCACACACTCTCTGACATTATGACATTGGTATATATTCAATTAAAATATATAAAAATATATATCCATTACTTTATATTTATTAGTTTATTATTAATTCTAAAGTATCTTCTGAATTTGCTTCGTACAAGTTGAACGGATGAATTATAATATACAAAAGTATATATATTACTTTATACTAGTTATTAGGTGAATTGAAGATTTATTTGTATATAATTATAGGAACTGTGGTATCTATTTGCACATGTGGTGTCATATTATATTATATT